TCATTCATATGACCATCTGGTCATATCAAAATCCTAACCACAGTTAATGATAAATGTGTCATTCATTTTCCAATTAAACATTGATAGATAGATAGGAATCTATCTTTATTCTGAATACAAAAAACAGTGAAAATTGGTATAGACAAGAAGCAAAAAGAAATAGTTTTAAATGAAATCAAATTCAAGTTGTATTGTAGTTCCACATTTACAGTTAAATTAGGGGGAGTTTATTTGCTTATATACAGTACGTATCAATTTTACATCATAAATAGTAAACACCCCCCTAGAATAAATGTATAACTCAAAGAATAAAATCTCCCTCAAAAACCCTTCCTAACAATAAATGCCCCTAAATACGGTATTTAATTTTGCTACTGTGTTTTTAACACAGTAGAGTATTTCTGGTCTAATCCTGTTATTTAATTTGAACAAAATGATGGCTAAATGAATGAAATTTAAGCAGCCAAAGTTGGCTGGGTAGGTATAAAATTAAGAATGATTTTAGATACTGGATATTTAACTCGCCATTTAATTGTACACTACAGAATTGCATAAAGCATGCTGTATGTGAATACAGGACAATAGAAATCTTGGTTTCCTACCTGATTTGTTAACAATTTATGTAAATTTTAAAGAATCGGGCATGGGCCAGACCAGGTGAGACAAAAGTGAAATATTATTATTTTGTATTGTTTGTACTGGCTAGAAAAGTAGAAGACATTCACTGTAGGATCAGAATGGGCTTCTTTTAAATAACAGGAAATTGAACTGGCAAATTGACAGAGAACTTCATAACAATTTTGTTGAATATACTCATGAAAAAAAAAAAAAAAACTTGCAAACAATTAGCTTCTTAACGCACTATACTGTAGGTGGTGCTATATTAATATTGATAATGGAAGAAACATTCAATATTTTATTGTATATTTTTCAGTTGGATAGTAGATATCTTTCAATTTTTGGGGTTTGATCCAAAATATCTCGACCATAAACGTATATGGCAAACATTGGAAATTTTAAATTGGATGAACTTTTTTTCAGGATTGTTTAAGCAAGATCCACACTGGTGCGGCTGACTTGATTACTTTAGATGGTGGCGACATCTACACCGCCGGGATTGAGTATGGCGTGAAAACTGTTATGGCAGAAACTTACAGTGATGGTAATGATGTTACTTTCTCACTTTACACTTTAGTAATTTGTGACTAAAGCCATGGTTTCATTTGGAGTTTTATTAAAAACAGTGTATGTGCTTATTAAATGTCATCTATATATTAATTATTTGTCGCACCCTTAACCTTAAATTTAATTTGATTAATTGGATTACTATTGGTTCACTTGATGTAACTGGAATGCTATAGTCCACTTAACTGGGCTAGTAATCTAGTTAACTAGACAACGTTTAATGTGTATTAGTTATATCCAGATAAAGATATAACAGAATAAATTTTACTTTGAAATTGACTTCAAAATGCTGTTTGTATTTGCCAAATTGTAGGGATGCAATAGTACTACATTATATTTTTACTCTTCTATGATTTTATCGTTTTCCCATGTGATTATGACGTCTTTTGATTTGATTTACGAAATTATTTTTTTTATCATATACATGAGGAATCATTATCAAATCGTGCTACTGTACACGTAGTGTGAAAACTTTTTATTTCTTTTATATTCTCTATGAACAATTGCTTTTCAGCTTTTTATCATTGACCATTATCGTCATAGTGTAAACAGACCTTTATGCTATTTGAAGGCTAGATTATATACTCTTATTTGTAGGCAACATTATGAATTTTGTTGTTACATCATAAACAATCATAGGTCGGCTAATTAACTAATGATAGCCTAAACCGCAAGTTTGAATATGTTTATTAAATGTTAAGAGCAATTTATTTCTAATGTAATTTATTACAAGAGGACAAATAACATTTCATTTGTATTAGATTGTATTTATCTTTGTATGGTATTTTATCTCCTATATAACATTCTGAGAACAAAAAAAAAAGATTTTATTTACAGTATTCACTGTTGTGTTAGGCTAACATTTTATTATTTAAGATCTTTAAGAATGAAATACATCACTTGGACTGATGACATTATTATAAGGTCTATATTTTACCTACTATGATAACCTTTTTTTTAATTAACTACCTTAACAGGTGATGGATACTACGCTGTAGCTGTTGCAAAGAATAGCGACACAAGCATGACCTTGAATTCACTGAAAGGCAAAAGGTCATGTCATACTGGTGTAAAAAAAACTGCTGGATGGAACGTTCCCGTTGGCTACTTACTGGGGGAAGGTTTGATGGATGTGGTGGATTGCAACAGTGACATCAAATCTGCTGGAATGTTCTTTAGTGAAAGTTGCGCACCAGGTGAGTAACCTGATAAAAAGAATGCCTGCTATACAATGGTGGTGCAAAAAGGGATGGGAGGGGACAAGCTTCCCCACTAGGGAGTGCTCCCCTTCCCCACCACAAAATTATTACCTTAATACAGAATTTGTTTTATACCTTTTCGTCCTGAGGTGATCTTATGCCTTGACAATGTATCGGCAAGATATGCTTGTACCTAGTAAGGATTAAATCGCTTTTTGTTTTTTGTTTTTTTTTTGTATGCGTAATGTAAAAAAAATATTTGACTGACTATTCAATCACTGCCCTTCAGTAGATCAAAATATTTAGATACTTAATAATGGCGTGGTGATGCTAAGTGGGTTTAATCATTGTGTAATCATGAACTCGGGTGTGCAAATCTTTCTTTGTAGACTTAAGAAAAAATTAATATGCTGATGTACAGTATTGCAAATAATATATTGTGTAATGTTTACCAAAAGTGTAATAAATTACCCTTCCTTTCTTTATTGTAAGATATTAAATACATAGAACATTCTAGAATTACATTTATGTGACCAAACAAACAGTGTAAATCACATTGGTAATTATAGAAACACGAGACCATGTGGAATTCAGGAGTATTGTTTGAGAGCTTCTGGATACTTGGGTACTGTAGAGGCAATAAGCCTATTGGTTAATTATAATGCATGAACTGAGTTTATATTTTATAAGTCAAAGAGGGATTCTTAACCATTTCTTTACCGCTCGTAAATACGTCAGGTAGGAGTTCATGACAGAAATAATTACCTTACCTTGCACCGAGGTGCACTTAGTTAAGCAGGTATCTTAATCTGTTTTCTTTGCTGTACATTGAAAAAAAGGGGAAGAATTTTGAATGTCCCTATTTGATTTTTGTGTATGACTTGTTTTCCAATGAACCAGATTGTCTAGGTATTGGTCTGCTTCCGAAACAACAGACACAGTAACTTGTTGTTGCTTTTCAAATTGTATTTATCCAATAATCATTTAAGCCCTTTTTGATTGCAATTGTAAATACTGTACCAATTCTGAAGAAAAATACAAGTTATTTAAACTACATCAGCAAGATGTACTTGTACCTAAGCATGGATTAAGTCAACTTTTTTTTTAAACTTTTTGGATGATTATTCAATCACTGCCCTTGTGTATAGATCAAAATATTGCTGTGTTGGTGCCAAGTAGACTTTACCATTGTGCTACGGAAACAATACTGCTATGAATGTATTGTCTAAGATAGTATAATACATACTCCCAAGTATTGAAATGCACACCATTGTGTCGGGATTCAATGTTTCAATAATAATTATGTCAATGTCTGATAATGCATAAACTCAGTTTGTGAATTTTTCAATGTATTGTGTGAAGTATTACCTTACCTTGAGAAGATAGAATGTGTATTGTACTTTTCACTCTGAGCTAATCTTCATATTCATTAAACGGGTAACATAATCCATGTTAATACAAATGAAATGAGTACAGTAGCACCTTTTGTAGACTAACATTGAGACAAGCTTTCGCTAGCTTCATGTTGTTATTATTGTACATTGAAAAATGGGGAAGAATTTAGACTGTCCGTATTCAGTTTTTGTGTATGACCTGTTTTCAAATTGTAGTCAATAATTTGTTTTAGAAGTTAGTGTCTTCAGAATTTATTTTTTGTCCAAACAATTTAGAACCAAATATACACTGTAAGGAAATAAGGTAGCATTTTGTTTGAATGGGAAGAATACAGAAATGAGTTATTTTCTTTTTAAACTTTTTTTTATTTGTATTCAATTATTTTAATGTTTTTTTAAATTTTAATATTGTTAGAGTTGTTACACCCTGTTACAGGTGAGACTGAGTCACCTTTTTAGATTTTTCTGATTGCTAAATGTTTCCTACCCAATGCTAGCTACAATTTTTTTCTTGTAGGTGCACTTTCGGCAAAGTATAATCCAAATGAAGATAATCCACCTTCACTCTGTGAGACATGTATTGGTCAGGGCAATTACAAATGTGCACGAAACTCAAGTGAGCCGTACTACAACTATCACGGAGCTTTTAGGTATGTTTATGCTTATGTTTAATGAACAGTCTTCCATATACAGTCATAAGTGTTTATTATGCTTCTGCGTAATGAACACTTGGGACTATATGGTATGATAGTACCGGGAAAAAAACCGAATCTCGCGCTAAACTAAACAAAATCATTCTTATTCTTTCTTAAAGGCATTTCAAAAACCGAATCTCTCCCAGTACTGAATTCCGGACATATTCGATCCGGGATACAAAAAATAACTTCTAACAAGCAGTTAATTAATAACAATTTCTGGATGAAGTTATGCAATAATCATCGCTATCGGGGAATTAACAACTAGGCCTAGCACAGCACCCTGTGAGTGCCCTGTTCGTACTGTTTAACTCAGTCCCAATAGTGTTGTCATAGTGATTATCTATAAATCAATTGGAATAAACCTAAAATCAAAGGAAGTTTTTACGACAACCGACTCTGTTACAGTAGACGTTTGATTCAAATTTGAATAATGTTAGATTCATCAGTATAAATTACAAATGCATAGCTTCATTCATTCTTTAAACTTAAGACACTTCTCAAAACATTTTGATAATTTTAATGAATGATTAAAATTTTTTAATGAAAAAATTAAAATTTGTTTGAAAATAAAGGGATTCTTATTTGTTTTAATACATCTATGTAATTAAAAATTTATCTGTTACACTGAGCCTGTTCCTGTCACCAACATAACAAACACACAGGGCTTTGCTATGCCTATATCAGCGATTAGCCCTAGCTGGTGTACAACAGCCTTGTTCGGAAAGGGTTCAATAGAAATGTTCCACAAAACTTTCTGGAAAACACCGTAACCGGTCCGGATTAGGGGGTTGGGGGATTGGTATTGGGAGAGTGCACTGTATAATTAATAATTTATGAATTTATAAAATGCAATTTACTTAAAAGGATGCAAGGCACTAATAAACTTCAGTTGATATTTAGCCATTACATAGTAATAGTATTCGTTTACACAGTAATTCTATGAGTTTTAATGAGGGTGCACTCGAGACCTAATCTTAGCATAGGCACATTTGAATTATAACTGCCAATTCACATACTACATTTAGTCAAATGTAACAATTTTATAATTAAATGTAACAAAGGTTGCCGCATGTGAAAGCTTTCAATGTAACAATTTTGTAACAAGTTTCCAAAATTTGTCAAAGGTTCCTTGTACAGCAGATATCCTATACTGCCTTTGCATAATCATTGATCTAAATTTTGAAGTCAGGCTCTGGAGGAAAAAGTAATGTTATGTTGTACAACTGACTTTACTAAAATCACAAAGTGTGTTTGAAGAAAAAAAACCTTAGAATGGTTAAAGAGATGCACATTTGAGGCATGTTGTGGCAAAATGGCTAAGTTGTAGCAAAAATTGAAACTCAAGTTATTGGTATTTTCAGATACCTGAGTATGTTATCTTTAAAATGAGAAGTCATTCATTCAAATTGGACATTTCAAGCTTAAGTTATTGGAAAGTGAAAGTACAGTACTCTTAGACTCAAGATAAACATGATTTTGAGTAATTGCCTTTCTTTCAAAGTTATTTGTACATACATTGTTTAATAGAATGAACTATAAAAAATAACGTTAAATAAACAATTTGTTAACCACTTCCAGAACTAATACTTTGGGACATGATTAATAAGACATTAAACTGTTGATCTATAGTGAAAAACAAATTTGGATGTTTAGGCAATTTTTTGAGCTCCCATATTTTATAGCTTATTTACTCAAAACTGGACTGTGCGACAACTTAACCATTTCGCCACAACATGCCTCATTTTTGAATATTTAAAAACTAGTGGCATAACAACCATTCCCCCACCCCACCCCAGTTTTTAAATATTCAAAAATCTATATCTTATTTACCGTCAAACACCCTTTTTGCATTTAAAAAAAAAAACAGTTAAAGTACAACATATCAAAAAAATGTTTTCCCTCTTCAGCCCGACTTTAAGGGTACTTAATATTTTTACTTTTATAATATATATTATCTCAAATCAGATGTCTTGCTGAGGGTTCTGGAGATGTTGCATTTGTCAAACATCTTACCGTTCAAGAAAACACAGATGGCAATGGTGATCAATGGGCACAGAATCTTAAATCCACCAACTATGTCCTGCTGTGCCCTGACGGTACAAGAAAGCCTGTGACGGAATATAAATCCTGCAACTTAGCTTGGGTAATTTAGATTTTCTTTTAGCCGGGCACTCGCTGCTCCAACACTAGTCGGCCGACGCGATTCTATGGATGATTCACTGCCATGAAGCGTGCGCAACAGATTTAGAATGCTGTCAGCAGGCATCACGTCGATCGTACGATGCAGCGGGTACCCGGCTTTACGATTATACTGTAAATTGTAGCGAACTCTTGGAATCATAGGGAGCAGAATGAGGCCTTTGCCTTATAATGGTTAAACATGGTGGCTGCCAAGCCTTTTTCCCTAGTTGGCAAGGAGTAGAGGGTGCCACTAAAATTCGGTGGTGACGTCATTACTTTCATTTGCACAAAATTTTCCTATCCCCGACTGATTACTATATCTATATTCAGTACACTGTATGCCTCTAATTTTTTTAATCTCGTGTGCAAAAGGCTCAAAGCCGGGATGATTTTCCTACAGTTAGATCATGATGCAATATTTTGTTGTTAGGCCAAGATATGAACGCACAACCGAACCTAACAAATCTCACTTTACGGTGCTGGTTAACACAAATGAAGCCTCGACCATCCTAGGCAAGGCCTAGAGAGGCATAATGGTTATGTGATAACAAGGTAATTGACTTACAATAACAACTCATTCTAATACGCACAGCCACAGCAACCAACAGTTTGGTCATAACTGCTCTACAAACTGCAGTTTGATTAAAGGGCCATAAAAAAAGTAATGGACATCACAACTGACTTATAAAACAATTGTAGTCACGTATTTCATAAACTATGGGAAATAGAAGCCTTAGGAGCCATTGATTCTTTAAAAAAAAAGGTTTCAAGTAAAAAATGGTTATTATTATTCTTCATTATTCTTTATTTAGGCACACAACACACGATGCTTTACACAAACTAAATCTCAATATGAGATTTAGGGAGTGGAATTGTTTATGTTGTGAGAAAAAATCCTGCAACTGGCAGGAATTGACCCTGGGATTGGAAGGCAAGCATCTTAACCACCAAGCTATTCAACTCCTTCGGCTTCTACAGTATTTCCTATAGTATACTCAAAACCAGACTAATTGCTTATTCCCATAATGAACAATTGTGTTATTTTTATGACTTTGGTTCTGGATTCTTTCCTGAAATGCCTGGGTGAGAGTTCGTGGTGTAGTGACCACTGCCGGGGAGATTGCGTAATAAATTATTGCTATGTTCAGCGACGTAATAGTACAGGCTCTCACTAGAAAAATGTTAAAAGAATGATACCGGAGCTGTGAATTTCTGTACTATGATTTTAATATGGATCACGATAAAGTAATACTCTTCTTTTAAGCTATACAAAGATATTACTATCTAACATCTCCAACTTTCTAGAACATACAGGGAGTTTTTTTGTAAGCCAAGAAATTATTGGCAAGACATAATGTCTACTGTCTACAGCTTTATTAGATCAGGTTACAACTACGTGCTGGCTGTGATCCAAGAGTCTAATGAAAGTGCTTATAATATGTGGCAAAGACAAGCTAAACCAGTCACTCGTCGCAAATCGTGTTTCAGAGAAAATGGACAAAACATGCTGTAATGTCAAATTTTTAAAAATCTATTTTATTACACTAAACTAACCTTTATATATCTACACATCATTCTATGCTATTATTTTCCCCATTTTCAATGTTAAAACAATACTTTTTAAGGATTTAAAGATAGTTTCTGCATGAGAAATGCCTGAAATCATAAACTTTGATGGCTAATTTCTCATATATTGTTCTTTAAACAGCTGTGTGGTTAACTTCATAAGGAAATGTCCGATTTGAATGATTTTTTTACCATTTTATAGCTATTATATTACTCTCTAACACTGTATTAATAACTCAAAATCGATTTTTGCGACGAGTGACTGGTTTGGCTTGTCTTTGCCGCATACTGTATATAATGTCAATTTTTTGTAGTTTTCAGAGGGTTGTTTGTGAGAAAGGCAGTTTAAAATTTGTGGCAAGTGCCGTATAAAAAAAATGAGCTAGTTCGTGTATCTGTCAAGAGTTGCTAAATTAAACCTAATAAAACATACACTGGCTTTCTTCCAGACACCAGGAACTTTACGATCAAATTGACCCAAGAATTTATATTTTCAAGGGTTGAACAAGGAATAGTGTTTTAGCACTGAGTAACTTATTTATACCATCATAACAAATTGCCTTGTTGTGAGAGTTTTGAAAGATGACCTGCAACTGCATCAGTGGCAGCATTAATGAAGTCTCTCCATTCCAAATGAAATGATTAAACTTTTATTAAAACATAAAAATTGCTCGTTTTAAATGAATCACAAGGCATTTGAATTGTTTATACAGACATCATTAAATTTGCTGGCAGATATTGAAGGAATAGTGTTCTTGAAATATTCTGTAAATAAATATTCAAATTAAGCAGTTACTTTGTTTCACCTTTTTGAGATTAATGTGGCATTATATATTTAAAAACTATCCTAAGTATAACTATCCTTAAAGGCTTTGTCCAGATTATCAAATTTTCTGTGACCAAAAATGGTGGTATGCCCATATATAGTCATGATGTGCCTATATATGGTCATGATGCAATGTCATGACCATATTTAGGCATGTGACATGATTTTGTCCAGTAGTATGGACAGTCCTAAAAATATTATAAACATATGAAAATTCATTTTATGCATGGATTGCCGTAAATACAACTTTTCACTGAAGCTGAAATAAAGTATTTTTGTCCTAACATCATCATTAAATGGAGTGTGTGGTTGGATATTATAGAAATGCTGTTGTTTTCAGAACCGTATCTCATAACTTTTATCTGTTTTATATGACTATTTCACAATTCACAAGAGAGATAAAAAATGTGATGCATTCTACTGTAAATGTTACACTGACCTGAGCAAATATAACCTTGATAAAGTCGAACAATTTAACAACTACTACTAATCGTAAGTAAAAGCACAGATGCAATGTAGCATGGCCTGTATGCTAAATTTTTCCTAAATTTAACTAGGTTACAGAAGTCAATTCCATTGACATTTGTTAGGTGCAGATGTCTATACATAAGTTTGTATCAATTTATACTTCGTATGGCAAGTGAAAATTTATTTTACTACAAAAATTACCTTTAATGATTTTTCCAGACTTACAGATAAACTTGTTGATTGTTGATGGGACATTCTATTGTCATTGCACAATGGATGTGGGGTATATCCACAAAATGTAATCAAATATGTAAATTTGAAATTGTTGTTTGTGTCCATAGGTACCCAGTCATGCGGTGATAACCGCCGCATCTGCTACCATGGAAAAGATCAACTCTTACCGCAAGCTATTAGATGATGGTCAGGTATGTTGTGATTAGATGAATGGATCTTTTATTCTTTGAATCCTAATTATAACTTGTACTATGTTATTTACACTATGCGAGACTTTTTTTTTATACCTTGTTTAGCGAACCCGCTAAATAAGGTTTGAATAAAAATAATTAGCGCACCCGCCGCCACGAAAAAGTGGAAATTTCGGGGGGAAACAAATTTTTTTCTTTATTTTTATTACACCCTCCGCTGCCTTGAAATCTCAAAAGATAAAATATGTATATTTCTTCCCAATTACATAAATTTGAAACATTTAACCATTCTATTTTACATTCACCAATAAAATTTTATTTTTATTTTCTCCTCCGTCTGGATGTTTTTGGCAAAACTATTTGCTAAATAAGAAAACAATTTTATTTTTATTTTAATTCCGCCCTCCTCCAATGATCTTTAAAAAAAATAAGTATGCGAAACAAGGAATAAGTCTCGCCCTACAGTGATAATCCTATTGTACCAACTTAATACAAATACTTTTTAATGGCAATCTGCATATTACAAAAGGTAAAATACAAATTGAATTTTAATATAGAAATATATATAAATATATAAACAATTTGGGAAATCCCTTATTTCACCTGATGTATTTACATACTGGGATAAACATTGTTTGTCTCACTACTGTACTGTATACACAAATATAACAAACTAAAACAATCCTATCAAATAGCTTTTATACTGAAAAAATTATAAAAAAAAAAACATTTTTCAATATTAGTGACAGAGGTTTTTAGAACTGGTGAGAATATAAGTTGCATATCTAAGGAGAAGGTAAACATTTTGGGGATTTTCCCTCTATTGTTTCTCATTCTTGTTTGTCTTATTGATCCAGCATGTTGCTTGAGTATTTCCGTGAGTAAAGCATAATTGTGGAAATAGTTGACATGGTGCTAGTATGAAAAAAGGCACTGGAATGTTACTTCCTTATTTTTGAAGTGTCTTGAACAACACATTATTTAAGCCTATATTCATACAACTCTTCATGACTGTTTACAGCTTACAATTCTTTTCTTTATTCTTTTCTGTTTTTTTTTTTTTTTTTTTTTTTTTGGTTCGTTTTTTTTTAAAGGTTTTGGGAAGTTTGGCATAGTATGATAAATTTTGTTAAATGTGTACCTTTCAGAAACTCTATGGAACTGATGGAAATCCAGAATTTGACATGTTTGATTCTGCAAACTTTCAAGGAAAGGATCTGCTTTTCAAAGATTCCACCGTTTCACTGAACAACACAGATAGCACAGAATATGCCACCTACCTAGGAGTACCATATATTAACACTATCAGAGGTCAGTTAATTTAAATATCAATGCTGAATATTTTAGGATAAAAGATTACTTTCTTTGTTGCTTAAAGGTGATGAGCCAGCTATTTTCAAAAGAACAGTATCATATTTGCAACTATTATAAAAAATTAAAATAAGAAAAACGTTAAGCAGTAGATATGCTGTGCATTAGAGCGTGATGTTGCTTTCGCAGTGGTCGAATGATTTGGCCCCCACAACGAGATTAGGTTAGTACATGCCAGGGGTCCCACCATTGGTTAAAGGTTGTGCTTTTTCCCTGTAAGTTTCTCTTGAATTCTTTTACATTCTAGGTATAATTTAGAAAATACAGTTAACAAATACTTTGGAAACAAATGTGAAAGTAGAGTAATTAAGATTTGTAAACAATATAAAGTCGATCTACTATGTTTATAATCACTGATCAGTACCTGTCTGTTCAAATTCTGTTGTACCGCTTTATAGGTCTTGCAGCCTGCCCAGCAGGCTCAGCACGCTGGTGTGTCGTATCTGACGGAGAGTTTGATAAATGCGAAGCTATGAAGAAAGCCTTCGCCACAGAAAACCTAAAGCCCGACATTTCATGCCCGAGGGCCCAAAATCAGGAAGGCTGTATGCGTCAGATTAGAGGTAAACATAGCATTTTATCTTTAAAAATGTTTTTGTTAGCTTGTAGCAACTGGTACATTTTGATGTGTTTCAACTATATTTTAAAGAATATTTTTTTACACACTGGCCATTTTTCACTCAATCAATCGTTCCACTTATATGGCGCCATTCCATCAGTCGTTGCTCGTGGTGCCGTACCAAAAAAATGAGATATTGAAAAGTGTGTTTTTGAGTAGTGATTTAAAACTGTCAAGCAAAGATGATTGCTTCATGTTCACTGGACATTTATTCCAGATCTTTGGTCCGGCAGTGCTTAAAAGAGAACTAGCAAAATGATTTTTTGTTCTAGAGGGGAATTTTGATATGCCATTTATATGGCCATTTTTCACTCAATCAATCGTTCCACTTATATGGCGCCATTCCATCAGTCGTTGCTCGTGGTGCCGTACCAAAAAAATGAGATATTGAAAAGTGTGTTTTTGAGTAGTGATTTAAAACTGTCAAGCAAAGATGATTGCTTCATGTTCACTGGACATTTATTCCAGATCTTTGGTCCGGCAGTGCTTAAAGCCTGTTCTTCCCAGCTGTGTTTGCTCCTTGGGATCATGTCCAAAAGCACTTCTTGGCTAGATCTTAGTTCTTGCCTAAGCAACAGTGAACTAGCTGCTAGGTCTTAACTTGCATGCTCGATTCTACCGGTAGCCCCAGTGCAAGTCTTTCAACAGTGGTGTTACATGGTGTTATATTTCCACTTTACAGATGGCCAAGCCGATCTTGTGACCCTGGATGGTGGCGATATTGTTACCGCCGGCAACACATACAAGATGCAGCCAGTTGCTGGTGAGAACTATGGTAAAGAGGATGCAACTGCCAGCTATTGGGCAGTGGCTGTGGCTAAGAAGGGCACAGACTTCGGGTTTGATGATCTCCAGGGTAAGAAGTCGTGCCACACCGGTATCATGAAGACGTCTGGTTGGATCGTTCCAATTGGTACTCTAATGGATCGGGGAGAAATTACTGTTGAAGATTGCAATGTGCCTGTTGCTGTAGGTATGTTCTTTAAGTAATAATTTTCGTTGTGACGTTCCAAATATTAGCACCCCATTGCCTTCATATTTTCAGTACAAATATTCTGTGAAAATGTTCAATTAAGGCCTGTCAAATTTAGGTTAGTGTTTCGTACTGCCCTTTAGAGCACCTTTTAATGTAACTTTTCTGCATATTCCTTTCTAAACAGAGTATTGTTTTAAAATGTAAATGAATTAGAATTTAACTTACGGTGGTAATGAAGGTGACAATAGCAGTGACATTAGTGTTTTCCTATTTCTATTTTTTAAAACTTTTAATTCTTTATTCTCTACAAAAAGGTGCCTACTTCTCATCGAGCTGCGTACCCGGAGCCAAGACGCCTACTTATGATCCAGATAACTTAAATCCAGAGAATCTATGTGACCTGTGTATTGGACAGGGTGAGGACAATTGCGTCCGTAACAACAATGAACCATACTATGGCTATACCGGTGCTTTTAGGTAAAATAAACTCAAATTGATTGAGACATCAATTTTAGCCAACTGAAATAGAAACGCTAGCCACTCATTGAGATTCTTATCATTTATTGTATTATATTATTATAATTATAATCATCAGCTATTGTAAGTGCTATATGGGGCTAGCCATGCTAAAACCAACATCAGTGACCAAAGAAGTAAATTGACTCGCATTATAAGCTTTAAAACTATGGGTCATTGGAACTGACTCGCTATTGCCAAAGTTGAGTAAAAGTATTACAGCTTCTCTGTATTAAAGTATACAATATATTAATATTGTACATTCTTGCACTAATTACTGAATTTGCAACAGTATGCTGGTTTTTGGGATGGCAAGCCTAACATGTGTATCATATAAAACAAATTGTTCATTTTTACATTTACAGTAGGAAATTTGCACACTCTCAAAAAACAATGGACTCTTCTGGTATAGTTCAATTTACCCTTAGAAGGGATATACTGTAAATACTAGTTATGTTTCTCACTAAAGAAATCCAGTCTGGTCTGTGTAATCCTTTCTTCTTCCTCAGAGTTCGGGCCAACTTCATGTTTGAAGACTTTGCCTGAGCCAAAATAAATATATTAACAATATTTATAATTCCATTTTTAATATTAACATAAGAATAAATCTATTTTATTTTGATAACAAGGTGTTTAGCAGAAGGTGCAGGCGAGGTTGCATTTGTCAAACATGTGACAGTTGGTGACAACACCAATGGGAACAATGCTGCTCCTTGGGCTTCAGGGTTGGATAAAGCAGACTTCGAACTCCTTTGCCCCGATGGATCAAGGAAGGCTGTGGATGACTGGCTGACCTGTAACCTCGCTCGTGTACCCTCGCATGCTGTCATGACATCAGGGAGCAAATCGACAGAGGTGAAGGAAGAATACTGGAACCTTCTTAAGGATGGACAGGTAAATAATATAAATCTTGTATAATCTTTTTCATTAGTGTGGGTATGCAACAATCCCTCCCCAACCTAATCAAAAGGAAAGATCCTGAAAAATGTTTGATGTTAATTTGAAATTTGCCGATGTCCCAGGTTTCTTGTTTTAACATTATGCCTAAAAACAGTGCCCCTTTAAATGGGGATGATTCTTAACTTGATGTACCAAAGTACCTATTGTCCAACTTTCTACCATATAAGTTGCACAGTTTTCAAAATATACACACAACAAAACTGGGAATTGACCAATGTGCACCGCTGTCACCGTAAGTTAGCTTCAAAATTAGCCAAACAGATGGTGTGCTTAAACTCAGATATTACCCTGACAACGATCTTAGAATGTTTTTAATGTTTTATATTTATTATACTATGAAAGCTTGAATATTATATGGTATTGTTAGTCATTACCTAGGTAGAAAGTGTCTGTAGAAGTAATATTTTGTGTAGATTTCTATAGCAAATGATATAAAATTAATGTTTCAATTAATTATTGTGTTCACTGTGATGTGTTTTTTTTTTTTTTTTTTTGTGTTTTTTTTTTTTTCGTGATTTTTTTGATGTGCAGACACCAAATTTTATATTCTGTTTAATTTTTCTACAGGGAATCTTTGCCAGTGACACTGGTACAGGATTTCGCATGTTTGATTCAGAAGGTTATGAAGGCAGCGACTTGATCTTCAAAGATTCCACTGTCAACTTGGTTGATGTTGGCGAAAAAGACACGTATCAGAAATGGGCTGGAGAGGAATACCTCAAGTCCTACGAGGCAGTCACCTGCCTGCGACTGCCTGCGAGTGGCGCTGGTCAGATCACCACAAGTGTTGCTGTCACTCTTGTTTCTTTGGTTGTGGCAGTTTTGAGCTGCATTTACAACTAATTATTTTCCCCTTTTCTCTTCTTTACTTCCTTGATTGCCTTGTTACATTAATAAAACAGTAAATGCTGTAAGTTAATTATGTACTTTTAAGATTTTAGAAGAAAATTCTTTTCAATATGTTGATGCTACACAGAATTAATGGAAGCACTAGTAATTAAGTAGAAGCCTTCCTAAATATGATATTGTTGCAGTTTTAGATTGTTTCATTTACAACTGTTGATGATTGAATCCTTGTTGAATTTCTTAGTTGATCAGATATGTGACCTGTGTAATGATTGGCTAACTTGTGATGCATATACAGAGTTTCTGTCATGCTCAATGATATGCAGTGTCATCAAACTTGGAATAAAAATGAGTAGATTTAAATGTCATATGTAGTAAAATAAGTAATGGTTGATCAGTACACTAAAAAGATTAGTTACGTTTGTATTTTGATGAATACTTGGAATTCTTTAATTAGATGAAATTAATTGATTGGTTAATCACATGGTTATGAATTTATACAAAAGATATTGATTTTAGGTGAAATTCAGTTTCTTTTATTCAATAGATATTAGTGTAAAAAACTAAGTGGTCAATTTATTCTTGCCAATTCATGAACTTAATTAGCAAAAGTATTTGCCAATCCACATTTAATAGTGGAGTATCATTTCATAGAATTCTTGGATTTGGATTTTATAGATGAATTTCAAACTTAAGAAAAACTGTCAAATTTTGTATCAGTAAATTATTTTTTATTATCATTTAAAAAGGAAAATATTTTTATAACTGGTGCTCAGTGTGGCATAGTGTAATAATATCTTTATAACCTGTTAAATGTATGAGGTGCTGCATTGAAGAAATGGTATCTTTTCAGATGTAGTTTTAAACCAATCTTGATGCAATTTTATAGAATTTTTATATATCAGAAAATATTTTATATCTGTTACCCAGTGTGGTAAAGTGTAAATAACTTGCTTATTTTGAATATAAGATACAGGACCCTTTATTCATGTATTGTTCATAGTTTAATTATCTTCCAGATTTTACATTCCTCTCTTGTGCATAAGTATTTTATAGGGGGTTGTCAATAAGATTTTCTTTAAAACTAGCAAGTTCATTTTTTCCCTGATGAGGTTAGATTTTTTTTATTCCTTGTTTTGCATACTTATTTTTTTAAAGATCATTGGAGGAGGACGGAATAAAAATGAAATTTTGTTTTCTTATTTAGCAAATAGTTTTACCAAAAACATTTCGGAGGAGAAATTAAAAATAAAATTTTATTGGTGAACGTAAAATATTATGGTTAAATGCTTCAAATTTATATAATTAGGAAAAAATATACATATCTTATCTTTGGAGATTTCAAGGCAGCTGAGGGCTTAATAAAAATAAACTGTTATTTTTTTCGAAATTTCCACTTTCTCGTGGTGGAGGGTGCATTAATTGGCCAAAAATAAAATTCTATTTTTAATCGAAATCATCAATATTTCCGGTCGGCGGGTTCGCTAAACAAGGTGTAAAAAAAGTCTCGCCTGAGCTAATGTGAAAATGGGTATAAATTGAATGGCAATTTTTAAAATTTAAAAAAAGTACTATGTTTTATTAATGTTTTACTTTTAACTTTGTTTCCAGAATCCAATATATTTTTAAAAATTCTAATTAAAACATCTCCCACTCTATGTAGTTAGTTTAAAGGACATTAGATTCAATCAGGTTAGTAAGTTTTGGCAAAAAATGAAGTTAATATTCATAAAAACATCAACAGAAGACATTGTTGTTGATCAAGAAATTGGTTTAAATTATAAAGGCAATACTTTAGCTTGTGCAAATATGAAGTTTATGAATAAGGGTTTTATTTAAGAGGTTGCTCACATCCAGTGCGACGTAGCAACTAGGGTCGCTCGCGTCCAGGGTGACGTAGCGATACGTGCTCTGGCGAGTTAATAAAATTACAACTGTGGCCCAAATGATCTTGTCATTTGTTGTTTTTTTTTTTGTACAATTGTATCCCATCTGGAAAAAATTCCATTTATTATTGTAAACTGTTGTTTACATTCTTAAGCCTTGAAAGTGGACCTGTCAATGTTTAAGTCTACACATAAGCCAAGTGTTAGAATGTGTGCCATAAGCCTGTAAAAGCTCAAATTGAGCTCTTGAAGTCTTCGCTTCCTGGACCCCCTTCAAGAGGTCTTGTACCCCCCTTCAAGAGGTCCTGTACTCCCCCTTCAAGAGGTTTTGCCAGCCTAGACAATTTATACTGCCGTCAAGGACAAGGTCTCCAGTTTCCAGATTTTACTGAAGCAAGACCATTTGGTTTATCTGTTATGGTTATCAACATTCACCGTTTACGCCATGTCAATAGATGTCGGATTAGTCTAAATTACAATTATCCTGTTGCAGCCGAACAAGAAATGGGTATATAAATACAAATAAAGTACAACCAAGTTGACACACGGATGAGATGGAACATCATGATTACATATAATTACAAGAAACCCATTGCAACATAACTTATTAACAATGGTGTATCTAGGGTGAGCGCGCGGAGGGTTTATTGAACCCACAAAATGTAACAACCAGCGCCCATATGTAACAAACAACGCCCACAAATTTAATAACGATCATCGCCCACAAATGTGAAAACAAAACATGATCTCTTTTCCCACGTGTAGGAGATAAGACCCAAAACTGGGGCGGATGCAGAGGGTTTGATAAAGACTCATTCATATCCCTATCGCTTATTTATTATATATTATTATTATTATCTTTACTATTATAATCCTTATCATGTCTATTTTACGATTACATTATGTATACACTGATTCCATAATTATGCTCATCGTGATCTATTTGAATCTTTCATTATTATAGCTATATATTTACTTTGCCTTTTTATTAGTCATTTCTACTTAATTTATTTCCTTAATCCTTAGTTGCCTTACAGGCACCTGCTGTTTATTCACTATAATTATTTCACTTTTGTTTATATCAACTTGTTTGTTGGCTCGATGATACCTTTTGTTGTTATAATTAAGTCATCATGATTAAGTCTGACCAATCGCCTATTTATGTTATTGTTCTGTTCCAACTTTCTCATAATGTTAATCAGTCATGCTGAAGAGGACAATAATCACCGGTACATATTTTATTCTTTATAATACCTGCAAATCACCTAAACTACTCTTTAATCTGTTTCTCATTGGAAACTAATGATTTACTTAACCTTTTAAATGAAGTATTCAACATCACTTAAGTTGTGTTCTTTTTTATTTTGTTTTTTTCAAGTATTTTTGTCTGAATACATCTTTAAATCATGACAGTAAAGTAAATAGCAGCGATAACAGAAGCACAAATTAACGATATTTTTTTTTATAATGTGATTCCCATCAGAACCAATGCACAACAAAATTATTTTTTTAAAGTGATCCTTTAAATATTATTATTATTATTATTATTATTATTATTATTATTATCTTTACTATTATAATCCTTATGTCTATTTTACGATTACATTATGTATACACTGATTCCATAATTATGCTCTATGGTACCGTACATCACAACTAATATCTCTATGGTTGCCAAAAATAGCTGTTAAAGACTAGGAATGAATTTTATTTTACTATTTAAAAGTGTCATTTCAGGCCATCTATAGGTGCTATTTCCTCTAATGTTCTCACCTTAGCCACAACCATGGTGGGGCTTAGGTAAATTTGGCCACACGGCTTTGAGGTAGGTCAAGTAAATTAAATACATCAAAGAAAGTGTTTCTTTAGTTTTATTTTGTATCGTATCATACATATTATATTAGAAAATCCCTGATTTAAAATCATGAGAAATTTTCTGCCGTTTTCATCTAGACTATATTATGGTGTGATGATGAATTTTACTATATAAAAGTGTCATTTCAGGCCATCTAAAGGTACTATTTAATCACATTTTCTCAAATTTAAAAAGTAGGTAAAGTAAATACATCAAAAACAATGTTTTTAAGTTTTTTCTATGGTACATCACACATACTAATTAGATCTCTGTGGTTACCGAAAATCGCTGATACCTGAAGATCATAAGAATTTGCTATACTGTATAATGGTGATGTGATGATGATGAATTTTACTATATAAAAGTGTCATTTCCGGCAATCCACATGTACTTTTCCTCATTTTTTGTACGCACACCCTACCACCAAATCCTGCATCTGCCCCAGCAAAAAATGGGCAAACCGAGCATTTTGTGACAGAAGCATATTTTGAGAATTTGATTTATAATTTATAAAAGGCATACGAACAACAAAAACAATGGAAGAGTATGGCGAGCCGAGTATATTATGTGTCAAAAGTTATGTCATTTCGGAAAATATATCTGATTGGAAGAAATAGAAACATGCACATAGGCCTACGTACTGAATATTTAAATAAAATTAACTTCTACGACCAGCGGATGTCAAGATACGGATGCCCTATATAATATTTTCCCAACTAATTTGTATAATTAAGCTATACTTGCATATTATATGGGGCGGGTGTCATATCTGGTAAGCTTCTCCATCACATTTAAATAATAAACCATTTAAACCTATTGATGGACTCTCACTTTTCTCACACTTCATAGATCTCCGTTTCACAACCTATTGGTCGCGACTCAATGATTTTGATGGGTTCATTTGATGGAAATGGAGAGTCCATTTTTAAACGTCTATGAGGGGTTAGAGGTCATTTGAGGTCCAATATTGATTTTGATAATAGTCCTAACTCATTATGTTTATTATGCAGGCTGCAGAGATGCCAAGTCCATGGGGGTGGGTGTAGGAGTGCCACTTGTGCAATTTGGTGCATACCTATAATACAATTTTACCTGCAGAATTCATAAGAGTAATACAAACTTCAAGAAAAGAGATACACTTTTTTTTTATAAGAACCAGTAAAATTTTGGCCAGGCTCAGTGTTCTTATTTTTTGGCCAATTTCAGGCAAAAAATGTTCTTATTTTATTCTTATTTTACACACATTTCAAACATAGAAAATTATTATTGTACAGCAGTATACACTATACTGGAAGGTGAAAGCGGCACTGCAAAAAATTGCCTATAAATGAAAGGCCCAGCAAAAAAATGGCCCCAAATGGGAGGTAGGTACACCTACTGTACTGTATTATAGAGGGTATTACATAGTCACACCTACTGCACATAAGGTACAGAGATAATCTTTTGGTTTTTTTAGTTTGACATTCTACCTCAGCCTCAATTTGTTCTTAATTTTTAAGCAATTTCAGCCTCAGTGTTCTTATAAAATGTGTTCTTATAAAAAATAAAAAAAAGTGTACATGATTGTGTGTCGATTCAATATTTCGACATTTAGGCTATTATTTCATCTTCAGAAATAAATTTTTAAGCAATGGGAAAGAGTTAACCTTACTCTAGCTGTGAAGTTGATGAGTGGGCTTTGTTATAAGCCTAGGTGGGTTTTTTTTTTGCAGATTTTAATACATCGTAGGTAGCTCAAATGCATAAGCTGGCACCTCCTGCGCCAATTTGATGGTCAGAATGCTTGACAACGTTCCCTTTGGATCTAAATTTGGGCGAAAGGCAGTTTTGTTTTTCTCGCTAG